AAAAACTGCCTTGTGCATATAGAAAACAGTGGCGTTGGCAACAAAAAGGGGGTGTGTCAGCAGGGGAGCAATGGATTGCAAATCGTAACAAGCACTCAAAAGTCAAAGCGAATTAAAATCTAAACTAATTTTCATGTCGTGCCAAAAATAATACAAAAAAAAAAAAAAAAACCAATAGAGAGCGAGGCAGACGGCAAAATGCATACACTTATATATACATATGGGGCGCCGGGAAGCAAGGGATCTATGTCTGGCGTGGGCGTGTTAGGCGCGGAAAAACCAACAACTTAATTAAAGCATCAATAAAAAAATTGTATAAACATATGAAAAGCGCCACGAGGACAACTCTGTAATAATGTTAGCAAAAATTCTGTTCAAAAATAAGAACAAAAAAAATGTAAGACTAAAGATTAAGGAATTTTTTTTTTCTTTAATGGAGTGAGTTTCGCCAATAAAATCCTTGATCTCCCTGCCAATAATGATGATTCCTTTTTAATGTGCACTCCTCGGGCGTTGGTCATTACTCAAGAAACCAACATTTCAGAAGACGATTCTGTGCGACTTGACGGGACTTTATTTTATTTTTTCTTTCACATATGGTTTTTTTTTTTTGCATTCATCGTATCGATCACAAAAAATGTTGCCAATACCAAGGAAATCTCGAGAGGCGAAGCTCAAAAACAAAACTCATCATCATCAGTTTGTTAGGTTTGGTTCTGTTGCATATATATTCTCATCCTCTTCGTTTTCTTTTCCAAAAAAAAAAAATGGGGGGCGTGCACAAAATGATATTTTATTCAATATCCTCAACATCAGAGGATTTTTTTTTTGTAATTTTTTTTTTTGCCTCTTTCGTTTTTAACGATTTATCCTTTTCAAGCGAGAAAAAGAAAAACTCGCCGTCGGAGGAAATCAAATTGATGGAGAGACACACACATGAGAAACCTGAAATTAAAAACTCATAAGATATCGACTGATATATTGAGCTGCACAAATTACTGACAACTGAAAGATGAAAGAAGCATCAGAGCAAGATCTCTAAAAAAAACGAAAGAAAAAAAAATCAAAGAAAACAAAGACAAAAATTTTCAACACAGGTTTACCATCCTTTCCCCGTTTTTTCCGCGCCACAATCGTTTTTGGTTTTGCTTTTCTCTCCTATATCCCTCTGTTGTGATGTTTATATGTATATAATATACATGCATATAAAAAGACAATTAGTTGTTATTAAGTTGTACACAAAAGACGTCGAATCTTTTCAATTCCAGTCGCTTCTTCATTTTTGGCATCAGCAGCTTTTGTAAGACTTCGGTTGGTTCGTTTTGGTTTGGTTCAGTTTGTCTAGATGCGGAATTAATGATGCAATGACAATTGATGCACACCACGCAAAGCGCATTTAGCAATTATGATATTTATGTTCAATTAGTGTCGCTGTTTGCCTGCATGGCTATTTACCTGTAGATACTTCCTTCGACCTTTATAGCTAGTGTTAAGTTTCATCTTTATTTGATTGCAGCAAACTGAGTTTACATCTTCTTCTGGTTGAAAGACCAATACGAGGGACAATAAAAGCAATAATTTTTCGTCTGCACTAAAGACTTGTAAAATTAGTGAAATGAATAAATTCTACAACAACTCATATTGCCCACATAGTTTCTAAAGAAAATTCTGTTGATTTCAGACGGCTTCGAGCGTAGTTAGTTGAGGTCAATGCTTTAGATGGATGCCTTAATGATTGAAAATCAGCTAATTATAGTACGTTTGATGGTTAGTTCCCAAGTTACTTGAGGACACTCCATGCGATCGGCTTCAATTAGCTTTAATGGCTATTCATAATTAATGACATAAACCGGAAAGAGAGGGAAACAGCAAATATTCATAATAAAAATTGATCAAGCACACACATTAATACAGGCAGACAGACACACATAGTTCATGAACTCAATTTTTAATATTAATTTCCAAATGATTTTTTATTTCTCATTATTAGTTGCGTGGTAGTTTCGATCGAGATCGAGTTCGAGTTCCTCGGGTTTAGATCAAACATCTCCCACAAGCTTTTAATTGTTCGGTTTTCGTTTCGATTCGTTTCGATTCGTTCGTTGGTTTTTTTTTTTTTTTTTTTATAGATACGATGTATGAATGTCGAATGTATATTTCGGTCTGCTTCTGTTTTAATTTCCGTGCTGACAAATTAATTTAATTATATTAACATATCTTTCCAGCGATCGAACGATTGAACGACAAAAATATTTCCGAATGTGTATATATATCTCTTTTGTGTGTGGGTGGTTGATTCTGTGATTCTTGATATAACCCCTTTTTTATATATATATATATATATGTATGTATGTACATATACTTTTTGTTTGTCTCATTAGCTAGCTTCTTTTCTGGAGAGCGAGTAAATTGCACTTAAAAAGCTAAAAATTATACGACACACGCCGCTCAGATCTCTATCTATTTGTATACTCTATCTGGTAATATGGTTCTCTTTTCGGAAAAGAAACAGAATATATTTCTGTTCTGAAAGGGCTTAAAGGACAACCCTTGGCTGCTCATTTTTGGCATATGCAAATGACTTTTACGAATGGGAATAGATAGAGAACGCCATCATTGAAAATTAAACTTTATAAACTATCAATGCTTGTCCCTGGGCTTGTTTTTTTTTTATATTTTATATTATTATCCATATCTGCATCTGTGATGGTGCTGTTTTGGTGGCAATGGTGGTGGTGGTGACTACCCTATAAACCGGTTTTCAATTCGATTAAAACGGAACCCAAACTCGCTTTTCTCTCATCTTTTCATTTTAATTTCTGCTTTTTTTTTTTAAGTCAGCAAATGCATTTGGCAATTAGTTTGGTATTGTCGTTGTTGTTTTTATTTTTTGTTATAGTTTAGATCAGCACAAATCAATGACAAAGAACCTCATCTTTCGTCTAGTTTTTTTTTGTTGGGTTTTACGGACATTGTAGAAGATATACAAAAAGTAATCTGTTCGATGTTAATGGGTCAAGTTTATAGATTGCATTACGGAAATTCATTTTGCTTTTTTTTTTTTTTTTAACTTTTGGTTCTTCTTGGGTTCAGCTTTTTCTTCTTATTTCTTATTTTTTTGTGTATTTTTTATTAATCGTTTCTTTCGGTGGCACCGTTCTATATATTTAATGACAAAACTTTGTGTTAATCAAGCACATTTTTATTGTTGCCTTTTCAATTTCGATTTGTGTCAATTTTTTCGCGCGCTCTCTGTTCTTGAAATGTAAATAAATAAATAAGAGGAATACTATAAAAAAAAAAGAAAGAAAAAGTATTTCATCAACTCATTTGGACAGCTGTAAACGCCTGTCTGGGGTTTGTTTAATTTACTTAATAAACTTCTATTTTTGGTTAGCAAATTAAAATATGTTGAATAACCTTTTTTTGTTTTCTTTTGTTTCGTCGTAGGTAAATGGTATTGCTGGATTGAGTTCTAATTTTGTTTTGAGCTCACACATCTAATGAAACCTTTCAAATATTGATTCATTGATTACAATCGATCATGAAATGGGAGTTCTCCAAGCTTTCAAAAGCCATCAGAAGATCGTTAGAAAACTATTCCAACAGCAGGTAAGTACTTAAATCTGTTCATTCTCGAAAATACGTAAAAAAATATTTTAATATGATAAAGAAACCTTTTTCCATTGATAAAATCCGTTGCAAACCCCTGACAAACCACTTTTAATAATAAACCCAACGAGTTTTGCGTCTTCTGTTTTTTTTTTCCTAACTTCTTCTGGTTCTTGAGAAAAAGTTGATAGGATAGCTTTGGGGATCGCAGTTTGCATCGCCATATCGTATAGAGAAAAAATATTTGTAAAGTGTGGTGAGGAAAAAACGCCATTCACCGACGGCAAATGTCTTGATTTTCCGGGAGCTGTTCCTTCTTTTCTGTTTAGTTAGTTTTCCGTTTTGCTTTTCAGGATCAATAGAAGAAGAAACTCCAATTAAAAAATGTACCCGGCTGTCGACGCAACCTAATTAACTTGCCAAACCATATAAAGAGTATTTTTATATATAGAAATATTCAAAAAAAAAATATATGAGTTTAAATTTCCATGTCTGGTCTAGTTGTAGGTCTTTTCCCCCCTTCTAATGTTATTTTGCCGCCTTTTTCTGTGGAGTCTGGCATTTGGCCAGGAAAAAAATAGAAGAAAATTCCCAGTACCGTCTGGTCTCCGCCCATCGATTTTCCACGCCCCCTTCTTGCACTAACTCCTGTCTGGCCGATCTTGTCTGGCTTTAAATTTTTAGTTCACTGAGGCAAATCGACGAAAAGGAAAATAACTAAGATAACAAAAGTAATTCAAGCAATAAATTGCTAACTCATTATCTGCTTGTTGCACTTTGCATTTTTCCCTTTGTTTTGTGTAAATTTTTTTTTTTTTCAGAAATCAATAATATCAGAAATAAATAAATCAATTTACAACAAGAAATTAGGCAACAATAAAGGGGCAGCCACAATAGACACACATTTGCCATAGACACGCAAACTCAATTAGTTAACTTAAGTTAAGTTAAGCAGTTTGGCAGGGAAAAATAATATTTGGGGTCTGTAGGGGGTTAAAGTGGGCTGATAGGCGCTCAAGGGTTATATCGTTGTCAGTTTCCAGAAAATGCAACAAAATATCACTGAACTGTGACAGTACATTTAAATGCTATTTGCATGAAACTTGCCTGGAGAATGAACTTTATTCCACTTTGAACTTTATAATTATATAAATTTATTATTTTTCAAAAATAATATTCGAACAATTTTGCTTTATTAATTTTAAACACATTTTTATGAATCAAATTTACTTCATTCAAATACATTTTAAAAGGCAAGAGAATACAATTTGAAACCACAATAAGCAGGTGTAATTTCAGCCTTTAAAGAACTTGATTCTGTTGATACAAATGTGTTACAAACCAAAACAATGATTTTAGAAGCACTGTGTTGCTAGAGTTGTTCTTACCTGTTGCCAAAACTGTGCCAATAAATAAATTTGCTCCTTTTTGAAAAACCAATCGTTGATTGATTGAACAGCCGTCAGATCCATATCGGCTGTCCCAGCGGCTTGTGGCAATGTTGGCTGCATTCGTGGGCTTTCTTGGGTTAATTTAATTAATTCTCAGTAGTTCTTTAAAGTATTTTGTTATTGTTATTTCTCAGTTTTTGGATTGTACCAATTTGTGGCTTTTAAGGCCTGGCATTATTATTATTATTTTTTAATATCGTTCTCTGTTCCTTTTTGTAGTTAATTATTTTGTTTAATTTCTTTTAGTCATCACAAGAACACCTTAAGTTATATTTTTTATGTTACGTGCTCAAAAAAATTCATAAATAAGCCAATACTAATATTATTATTATTATTTGGGTTACGTTTTTATTTTTTAGTTCCGAAAATAATTTTAATTTTTTTTTGTTTTGTTGTGTCAGGCGTTGTATTGTTATTGAGAAGGAGAATTGATGTTGTTGTAGTTGTCGTATTAGTTGTTGTTGCCTTTCGTTTGTTGTTGTTGCTGTTGTGTGTGTGATTTTTTTTTCTTCTTCAAGCCATTATTATTATGTTGTTGCTGTTGCTGTTGTAGCTTTTTGGCTTTGGCTTATTTTGCACATGTTTGCTGTCGTCGTTGTTGCTCTTGATTTTGTTGTTGTTTACACTTGACACTTATACACGCGCACATATTTTAGCAAACAAAAATGCACTTGAAAAAAATAATAAACTGTTGTATTTAAGCGTCCGCTTAGTCCTTTGATTGCTGTGTGTTTTGTTTATAGGGAAGAGCTCTGGTTACATTTTTGTTACTTGTAATTTGTATTTATTATTATTGAGTGGGTGGGGTGGGGGTTTAGATTCTTCAGCACACACACACGCTGGCAAACACACACACACACAGTAATATAGAAAGAGAGGGGGCACACACACGCACACACAAACGCGCCGCGGCGGCAATTAAGAAGAATAAGAAGAATGCAGTAGAAGAATGCATTAACAGAACTGCCGTTGCTTTGTTTTGTTTTTTTTTTTTTTAAATTTGTGTTTGTTTTGTTTTTGGACGAGACAGTAGTTAGTTTCAGAATCCAAATTTTCAAATCCCAAAATCTCGATATTTCTTTCGGCGACGGACGAACGAAACGACGTTGCCAGTCACGAATGCTGTTGATGACTGAACAAATCGAACATTAACGAAGCGCCGACAACCCTCTGCCGCGGCGAGCGCCGGCGGCGACGTCGGCCGCAGCAGAGGCAACAAGAATGACAAAAAAAAAAACCCGAAACAAAAACTCACGAACTAACTCAACGCTTTCTCTCATATCACTCTGTCTATCTCTCTTTGGCGCCCTCTCTCTTTTTCGCTTACTCTCTGTCCACGAATATCTCACTCAATTTTCCTGCTTTGCTTTTGATTTCTTTCAATAGCTTTTTGATTTTCTCACTTTTTTCCTCCCCTCCACTAGACTACATTTTTTTCTTTAATTTTTTTTTTTTTACTTTTATTTGTTTTATTTTGAGCATTTTTCTGCGCCGCCGCATGTCAGTTGCATGTATTGAAATTCATTCATTCACAGGCACTTTCGGTGTAGCGCCTTCTCACTTACACATTGACGTTCTTATTGGAAAAGGAAAGAGCTAGGGCTCTCTCTTTTAGTTCCTTATTGTATTTGTTGTTGCTGTTTATTGAGCGCGGAATTGAGTGCAACGGCGACGCTAGCAGAGGGATTTCTGTTGGGATTTTTTAAATTTTTAAGGTGGTTTTTACCTAAACTTAATATTTAGTTCGGTTATATGGACTTCTAAAATTAAAAAAAAAATTAAAAATATATAATTTTATTTTTTCAAGTAGCAAATGGCAAAGAAAAAGCCTTTAATCTTTGACAAATCCTGTAATTATTTATTTTTAATAATATACAGGTGCATAAAATTGTATTCCAATAGTTATTATTGAGCAGGATAAGTAAGCTAAATCTATTTATCCTTGATAAGAGTATCTTTATACATGTCTACCATTATAAAGTCCTTTAAGTTGCTATTCTAAGTCCGAAAATATCCTTTCTTTAGCTTTTCAAAAAGCTCCAGTAAATATAAAAAATGTGTGGGTCTCTTAAGTCCTTAAATATTTTGTACATTTATATTTTTTCCTACACCCCTGGAATTTAAGTTTCCCGTTTCGGGATTTTCGCATAAAGAAAATTCTAAATTGTATCGAAGCGCCAAATGCAATAGCAAGCGCCTACCTCCTTGCCACACCCCTTTGCTTTTCTTCGCCCCTAATTTTTCCTCCTTTATCTCATGATTTCCAAATGGCAGCGGGGTGGCTGAAAGGGGCCTTGGGATTTTCGAAGGGGTTATGGCTTACACCTAAACTGAGACTCTGAACTCAAGTCGCAGTCGCAGATGCGTTGCAGCAGTCTGAGAGGAAAATAGTTGGGGAAATGGTTTAAATTGTGTTGTGGGGTGGGGGGGATCTGGTTGGGTTTGAATATGCTCGGGGACGTAGTCGTCGGCTGGCAAATACCGAGTAAACCGGGAGATCCGAGAGAAAGGGCATCGCCACCTACACGGAGACGAGGCTCGGTTCCCCCGTCGGCGTCGAAAATGAACTCATCTCATCTTGCTTATATTTTTTTTTTTTTTCTTTTTTTTCAGAGGTAATTTTTTTTTCAGATATTTTTAAAATATTTATATTTTTTAAAAATGTATATTAAAGTTTGTATTTGTATTTTAAAATAGCAGTAGATATTATATAAGTAAAGGTATATATATTATAGGTAAAAATTAATTTATTATTATTATTAATTTAAACTTAAAAAAAAACATTTTTAGTTAAAAATCTTAAAAAATGTGACAATATTCTTATATTTATATAAATAACAATATGTTCAAAAAATATGATTGTAAAAAATTTAATATTTGCTTACAAAAGCAAATCGTTTTTATTTTAGAAAATATATATAAATTTTATAAACTATATTTATAAACTTTATATAAATAACTTAATAATGTATGGTTACAAAAAGGAATTAAGATAGTAAATTTCTTTTAAAATATTTAAAATAAATAAATTTATAAAAATATAATAAAAAAAAACATTGTAAACCATAAACTTTATGAAATCCCTACAAAAACAAGTGTCTTCGTCAACTCGCAAAATTCCAAGTAGATTAAAATCAAAGAAATTCCAACTAACAATCTAGGCGAAGAAAAAACTCAAAAAGTTCACTCACTGAATGCAAGGGGTTCGAACTCGTTTTCGAAAAGTTTCGAACTGGTTGAGTAAATTTTGTTCGTATGAAGGATTTTCAATTGACTAAAAATAATGTTCCTAATCTTCCGATTGTTTCTTGTAAGTGCATTTCAGTATTTAACACCTTTTTTTGTTTATTTACTTTGTAGAAATTAAAATTTGATAGAATTTAATTCAAAATCGATTTATTTCAATCGTTCAAATACAGCATTCTATAATCAAATGTGATCAGTACGCTTATTATATATTATCAATTGAGATTGTCGTAGAATTTTCTAAAAATCACTATCTTCTGAAAAATCTAGCAATTATTAAATTAAGCAAAAACATAAATAATTAAATTCAATAAATCTAAAAAAAACTATAAACGCTTACAAAGAGTAATTTAAATTTTAAAATTGTATTTCAAAATCAAAAAATCCTGTCAAACGATATAAGCGTGATGAACTTTAAAATTAAAAAAAAAAGATACAAATTAAAAAATCGTGAACTTTAAATAATAGTACATGTAAAAAGTAAAACTTAGTAGTAAAACCTTAAATCTGAAGTAATTCTAAAATAATATGACTATTTACATATTTAAAGCGAATTAATTAAACAAAATCATAAATTTGAATTAAAATATTATCGTTGTGTCCTACAAAATCTAAAAATATTTATATATATATATATATATTTTTTAATTGTAAATAATTTTTTAAGGTAACCAACTCGTTATCGCTGCCGAACTTGCAAACGCAGGAAACTCATTCAAACAGATCCAAAATAAAAAACACTCAAATGACAGTCGCTCTCAATTTTCGATAATTCGCATAATAAAAACCAAATCGCACACACTTACATGTACCCACACACAGCCAGACAAGTGTCACATAAAAAGTCGGAGAAGCAGTCTCAGCGACAGAGACGCCGACCGAGACCGCGACGGGGCCGGTAGAGGGCAAAAGACATACAAAAAAACGAAGAAGGAAAAAAGCGAAGCAAACGCTTTAAGCCCCGCCCCATTTGATTGGCGAGCAAAAAGAAAGGCAGACGACGACAACGTCAATGGACAACACACAACTCACACACATGTCGGGTCTTTATATGTGTTTGGCCTCTGCTGACGTCGCTGCTACCTGCAAAGCGTCAGAAAAGCATCCGAAATCTGTTACTCTCACAAAAGTCTTAAAAATAAAAAACAACAACAAGAGTTTTGGAATTTAAAAGAAACCAAGTGCATTTAAATAAAGATATTTTAGTATCATTGTTTTATAAAAGTTTAAAGTTAAATATGATTCAGTGATCAGTTAAAATTTAATATTTTTTTGTGAAGTTTAAAATTTAAAAAGTGCAGTTAAAGTGAAAACAGTGAACATCAATGACAAAATCTTCAAGGAAAATGTCACTTCATGGCGGAAAGTAAACTAATACATGTAACTCATCAAATTTATGATCACTTTCTTCTATTACATTTTTTTATAACAATATTTTTAGAAATTTGTATACATTGAAGTTGCTATAAAATATGTATTATTGAATTTAAGATTTTAAAAATCAGAAAAAAAAACATCTATAAATTAAATATAAAGCCAATTATTGGAGGTTCAATCTTAAGAGATTTAATTCAATATTTGTGGATTAAAAGTCGATAATAAAATTTACTAAGATTATGTATGAATGTTTAAGTTATAAAATTTTATTTCAAAATAGAAACAACACGTCAAACGATATAAGTAAGCATGTTGTACTTTAAGTTAAAAAAACCGTAAACTATTTTATGCCTGTAAGGAGTAAAACTAAGGAACAAAATCAGATATGTAGACTAAATCTTAAATAATATGAGTATTAAGATAGGTTTAGCAAATCAATTAAACAAAATGCGGATAGTTGAACTATACTAAACCAAAGCTTAGAAGTAATCCAATTGTTTTAAAATATATAGTTAAAATAAATAAATACAAAAAATAAACGAAAAATGGTATATATTAAATAAATATTTCTGATCATTTTTAAGTTAGTAATAACTTTATTTTAAGGTAAAAATAATGTTAATTCCGATAGTTAAATATCAAAGAAAGACAAAAGTTGGAAAGGAAGAGAGAATCAACAACAGTATCGCTCTATCTCGCTTACACCAAACGCCATTGAATGTCTCTAAATTTTTTTTTCCTACTTTTTTTCGAACAGCTTTTGGCTTTGATTTTTCTTCAAGTTTACTTTTTTAGCTCTCGCTCGCACGCACTCACACCCTTACATTCGCGCTCGCTCTAGAAACTCATTCTCCTCGCTCTTGCACTCAGTTTGGCACTCACTCACTCTTTTTCGATGCGCGCATGCGCTCTCTCTGGGTTTAAACAATTTTGAGTGATATTTTTTTGTTGTTTGTTGTTTTTGTTGCTTTACTTTTATTATTTTGTTTTAATCTTACTTTTGCGTCGACTGCGCTGCCAACTTCGTCGATGCGATTGCACGAGTGCAAGGGAGTGAGCGATATGCAGGTGCCGATGATGCTTTGGCTCTCTATCTCTCACATACGTTTGGAACACATTCATTGTTATTTTTGTTGTTGTCGTTGATTGAAATTATGATTTTTTATTATTAGTTGTGCTTGTGTGTGACTGTTTTTGTGTGTGCGTGTGTGTGTGTGTGTTGGCCTAACTGTTAAAGTGTCATATTAGCGTTGTTTTTGGTTGGTTGATTCGACATGTGTTGCATGTGTTTGTGCGTCGCAAATTTGATTTGTTTCAAGTTTTTGCGTGTTTCTTACCTAAGAAAAATGAAATTCATTTATACGTTCTTACTTTTTATTACCCTTAGGCCATTTTAAATTATTAATTTTGAAAATATTTTAAAAATCAAACTATAAAATAATATTTAAGATGTTTTTGATTAATAACATAATCAAGTAAGCTTTTTGATCAACAAATATTTTATTCGATTAATGTACTTTAACTTGTGA